CAGCTGTCCTGGAACTCACTATGTAGACCAGGCTGGCCTCAAACTCACAGAGATCTGCCTGCCTCTGCCTCCCGAGTGCTGGGATTAAAGGTGTGCACCACCATGCCTGACTTTTAATTATATTTTCAGAATGTACAGATTTTCCATCCTCTTTGCAAGTCATATAAACACAGCTAATCAGACATCTCAATCAGAACAATAAACGTATAGCTGTGAGAGGTCCTCTTTATTTTCCTTTCTCCACTTCCCATTACTAATCTAAACTACCTCAAAACTACCCTCAGTTTGAGGCCTCCACTTGTTTTTTATGCATAATGTTTTACAAATAAAAATATAGTACTACTTGTGGTGTTCTTTTTTCAAATAACACCAGGCGTTTTATGTAATAAAAGCTCTTTTCATCTTTTACTTATTTAGATATAGAAAGAGCTATGCATGAGCTTTATTTATATTTAGAAAATGTGTTTTAAACATGTGGATTATAGTCTTAGAATACAATTAAATACTATTGTTGATGTTTAGATTATAAGGATTCTTTCTACCCAAAGTCTAATATTAGTAACTGTTAGTATTTCAGTAGGTTTCTCAGGAGCATAGAGCCAGGCATGGAATTGTGTGTGTGTGTGTGTGTGTGTGTGTGTGTGTGTGTATACACTCAATTTAACAACACTGACAGACTGCTCTGTGAAAGGATTGTATCTGTTTTCTACTTAGGAGAGGGGGCCGTCTATGCCCTTAATGTTTTATCAGATTTTAACATTATCTGACTTCCAATAGTTTATAGTAAGATAAAAAAAGACAATGTTTTATTATTTCTTTTTCTTGTTATTTTAATATGTTCACTAGTGTTATTTTAGTATACTTAGTAAGACATCACTGTTATAAATTAGCAATCTTGGTCCAGTTTTAGTTGAGTCTCAGACTGATTTGTTGGCAAATTTCAGTATCACCTTTAATAGTCAACGCATTACCACTTTGCTAGTTGTAAGCATAGTGAATATATATTTTCTCATCTTTGAGCTACTAATTTTATAGATAAACAATTAATACTTAACACTGATATAGTTAGTTCTATCATTATTTTTTCTGCTTTGATTTGTTTGGCTTGAAGTGGTTTATTAGGGAATTTTCTTCATTAAAATTTAAAATAAGATATTCTGTTATATTTTCTGTTAATTATAGAGCTTTGATTTTTATATGCCTTTGAAATGTCTTTAAGATGCATTCTGGAACTGGGATTGGTGGCACACACCTTTAACCCGAGCACTTGGGAGGCAGAGGCAGGTGGATCTCTCTAAGATGGATGGCAGACTGCTCTACATAGCAAGTTCTAGTCCAGCTAGGGCTACAGGGAGATCCTGTCTCACAAAGCCCCCCCCAAAAAAAAGATACATTCTGGGGAAATCATATTTGCTTTTACATATAATGAGATAATTTTACCTATGAGGTAATTTAAAAATATTAATAAATATTCTGTATTTCCACTGATTTTTAATTTTACAGAGTAAAATTATTCCAAATTCATATATATCTGTGGAATTAATCATTGACCTTAATACTCTGGTTCAGTCTTCCATTTGTCTCTTCCTGGATCAATACCATTATATTTAAATGCTATGGCTTTGTAATATACCTGATAAAGCAACTGGCATTCTGCCTTCTACATATTGGCTTGCCCTTCTTTCCTTCTTTCCTTCCTTCCTTCCTTCCTTCCTTCCTTCCTTCCTTCTTTCCCCCCTTCTTTCTTTTCTTTTGAAAGGGTGGGCTTTGGAGCACATATATTATTTTTTAATGCTTTAAGAATTTCACACAACTTACTTTGATCATATCCTCCTCCCTCAACTCCTCCTCATCTGCCCCTTCCTCCTTATCCACCCAAAGTCGTGTTCTTTTTAAATCCCCTATTGAGTTCAATATTTAAATGGTCAGGGAAAAAAACTGATTGCCTGACTGAATATGTGAAAATGTAACCTGCTTTACTATTACCCACTATGCAATTCAGTTTCTTGGACACATGAGCAAGTATAGCTAAAAGTACATTGAAGTCTTCATTTTCTCATAAACTGTCTATTGTCCACTAAAACCCTTTTTGTAAAGGTATTGTTTTCAACAGATCATGCTAACTCTAGAAATACTGCACTGTTCCTTCTCCTCTCCAAGAAACTGAAAGATTTACCATTCTTCATATGAAACCAAAAAGGATACTTAGAATATCAGGAGGTACCATTTGAGCAGTGTCTACACTGTACCAAGCACTCCTTTAAGAATTTCGTGTTTGTGTATTCATTCAATTCTTATCCCAACATTAAAGAGATGCTATTCTTATCATTAGTTTTTGTCGAGACAGAGTCTCCCTGTAGCCCCAGCTGGCCTGGGACTGGCTATGTAGACCAGTCGGCCTGGATCTCACAGGAGTCTACCTGCCTCTGTCTCCAGAGTGCTAGGATTAAAGGCATGCACCACCATGCCGAATTCTTACCACTATGTTCACAAACATAGAATGCAGATGATTTACATACAAATACTGACCAAACTAGTATCCTTCAACTTCACTCACATTCATGCCTCCTTTTCAGGTATGTTACTTGTTCTTAAAATGCAACACTATTGACAGCCTATTTTAAAACCAAATAATATATTTTTAAAT